ATTATTTCTTACTGCAGCTCTTATACCAGCATACCTGTGGGTGCAACACAGGCCAGTTCCCAGATGAGAGATGCTGGGAACACTGGGAAGATGCTCTAGACTTCTGTCTTTGCATTGTTACTGGGCTCCAATTAAAGTGCATGCAGACCCTCTGGTTCCCTGCTAATGCTGCCCTCTGCCTGCATGGGAGCCACTCAAGGTTGATAATGTAGAACAGGGGCAAATATTGCAGAATAGAGATTCTCTCAGCTGTCATGCCAGAGGCTTTTTTCTGGGAAAAAAAGAAAAGAAAAAAAAAAGAAAAAAAAAAAAACACCAAAAGGTCTATGCTGTTTGTTTCACTGTCTTTGAAAATGGGATCTATCATCTGGAGAATCTAACCAGCGTCCATTTCTGTGGATTTTCCATGGCTGCTTCTTAGCGGTTGATGGCATAATGTTGTCTGAAATGGCCATTAGCTGGGTATCTTTATGAACAGCTTCTCAGGGAAAGTTCAATTTGCTGAATTATGAGCACATCTCTGAGAAGAGTTGCATTATATGGTACTCGCATGCTGAAAGCATTAACTTTATACTTTTAAAATACGCACTGATGGATCCGATGAGGATTGAAGAAGTAGAAAGGTGAAGGTCCCAATGGATTAGATACAATATGCAATAATTGGTATCTTTTTTTTTCCAAGAAAAATAAATGGTAAATTTAGAAAAATTCTATTTAGCTGAGGCTTTTTCACTAGGAAAAAAAAAAGGCAATTGTATAAAAAAATTAATGGAAAACCTCTTCACTTGGTACAAGCCATAACTTAAGGGCACTTGATTTGAGCTGAAGAGCTGTTTGGCTCCATGGAGTCACATCAGATTTATCCCCAGCATCCATGGGAACAGAGCTTAGCTCACTATTCTGTCTCATATAGAGTAAATCTAAGTATTGTCAAAAATACTTTGTTTTTTAATTAGAAGAAGCGGAGTGAAACAACAATGAATTTCTCTTTCAGAAGAGACGAGATCATTCCGTCTCACAAAATGGACGTGGTCCACGGCAAATCTCCAGAAGTTTAAAGCCTCAGTATGCACTGGGTGAAAGCCCAGGAGCTATAGACTGGGAGACCTCTTCTCCTTGATGCTGAGACAGCTCCCACTCTGTATTCAGCTCAGGTCTGGAGCTGAACTCTCTCTCACGCCCAAGAGAGCTCAGAAGTATTCAGGTATCTTGATTCCACATGCGCAGCACTGTGATTTCTCTGCATTGAAGGCACTTCACTTAATCGGTGCTATTATCACACCTGATGAGGCACAGCAGGTGATATTTGAGATGCTTGCCTTTTGATTCCTTGCAACTGAGCAACATTTAGTAAGAATTACTTAAATCAGCTAATCAAAAACAAGTTCAATGACATTAGGATGAAGTGGGCTCCAGAACACCTAGGCAAAGTTATTTATCTTGTGGAAATCCTTCTTTAGATGGAGAAGCAAATAATTCCCAATGTGCTCTATAAGCTCTCTGCTTCTTGGGCTGTAGATAAGTAGATGTCATTCCTGAAAATCCTTTATTATCCCCTATTTCAGGCAGAGTTTGAGGTTGTTCTTGTGGAACAGATTTCCATGACCCTTTGCCTGCCTCCTGGTGCTGGGGAAGCAGGATGGTGGGGCTGCTTGCAGTGGGAACCGGATGGAAGTATGTGCATGAGGCTGCCCTGAGAATGACATTGTCTTACTCAAAAATTCACATCTGACTTCAATTTCCAGCAATGGAGGTGACCCAGCATTTCCTTTCTTCAACAGGGATTGTCCCAAAGCAGAACCAGCCCTTAGCATTCCCACTGATCCCCTTTCATAGCTGAATGGGGCTTGAATTATTCTCTGCCTTAACTGAGGTGCTAACATCCTCCAGAGCCCATTGCACAAAAAATAACCTGCAATCCTCTGCATCTTGGGAAAATGTGTTTTCTGCTCCTTTGAACTACTTTAAAAAGAAACTGATGATAAGAGACACCTGGTCTGCCTTTAGGGCAAGTCTCCCATTGCTTATGGAGCCAGTGATGGTGCTGGGGACCATTTGGGACATATGGACCCAATGGTGGGGCTGAGGGCCATTTTTGGGGCCTGGGCAGATGCCACCCATCTGTGACTGTTCCCAGTGATGTCCCAGCATCTGGAATACATAAGCTTTGTGGGGTCCATGCTTAGCATCAGCGTCCCAGAGTGCTGGAGAATTTCATGCAGTGCACAATAATGGCTGAGAGAAAAAGCACGATGGAAACATGTGGCTTCAGTTCTTCAGAGGTAGCTATTAAGTGTCCCCTGTTGTCTGTTGCTGGCTGGCACAGCACTCACACGCAGGAGGGGATGCACAGAAAGCATTCAAGTTGCTGGTAGCAACGCATGTATTTAGGTTTGAAAGGATGGAGGTTCCTGTAAGTGAGTGTGAAGACAGAAAGATCATTAGCACATATTTATTGGAGTTTACCAGCTCTGTTAACAATGGGTTTCTCTTTGCCATCAGAGTTAATTCCTCTGTAATTATGTTCCTAATATAGAAATCATTTGGCATTTATTTGCCATAATAAAACTTCCCATTGCATTTAAATTCAATGTGAAGTTAAGTGTATTTAGAAGACTCGGTTGAAGACCCAAAATTAAATATTCCTGGTTTCCTTTTGCAAACAAGACAAACTCAGACAAATGCTAGCAGTCAGGTCCATGCATGCAGCTGCTCCTATGAGCACTGGATGCTACTTGTGCTTATCTGGAGAGATAAGCTCTGTTCTAGTGCACTGATCATGCAGGCAATGCCAACAATTGGTCCTTCTTGTTACACCTGAGCAAGGAAAATGCTCAGCTGAGGAAGCATTACTAACAGCCATCCTGGTTAGTAAGCTGTTTCCAAAATAGGAAAATACTCTGGCAGCTGGGGTGGCAGGATGTGTGCGTGTGGCTCTTCCCAGCTCCCAGGAGCAGCTTGGGACAGCTGGGGCTGGGAGAGCCCAGAGACCTCATCCTGGTCAAATGACACAACTGTCCCCACCCCTATGCCCTTCAGCTGATGTGTGAGCCATCACAGCTTTGGAAGCAGCCTGTGGATGTGGACGGGCTCCCAGCACTGGTAAATGATAAATAAAATGGCCAGGGCAACACACTGACATCAGTATGCAGAAGTGCTGATGCTGATCCTGATGTCACTATTTTCTCTCTGAATATACCAACCTTTAGAAGCATGCACTGGCAACAGTGTTTTTCCCATCCTTTCTCAGAAGTCTTCCCAGCAGGCTGAAAATAGGCAATCTTTAATCGCGCTGATGTACTGCAATGGGCACTGAGTGGGAGCAGCTTCAGTCCATCTCCAGCAGCATGCTACTCCTGCAGTAAAGCCAGGTCAGCCTGGCCTGGCCTTGCTGCTCCTGAAGACAAGCTCCTATTTTAGACAGGAAACAAAGCAGGTTGTTCCAGGGGGACAGTACAGAATCATAGAATCATTAAGGTTGGAAAAGACCACTAAGATCAACCCTGCCATGGCAAGGAGATTAGAGGTAGATGATCTCTGAGCTTCCTTCCAATCCTAATCTGTCTCTGATTTTATGATTCTGTGATTCTGTGATTCTATGATCTAGTCCAACCTTCAGCCCACTCCCACCATCTCCCTGGGCAGGCTGTTGCAGTGCCTCACCACTCTTTCTGAAGCTTTTTCTCCATCCAGAGCATCTTTGTAGAGCAGTGACAAAGAGCATTGGTGGGAACGCCGTTCTCTGGGGCACTGAAGAGCAAGTTGTGCAGAGCTGTCTTCTACAAACCTACAGAAATGGCCGTGGAGTTTAAATTCCATTTCTCAGGGCACAGCTGAGGGACTGTTCCTGAGCAAACTGTACAGCCAGTGACAAAGCTCCTTCTCCTTTGCATACAAAGGATTTATGCCTTTAATATGCCCCCAGTGTTTATTTTTTCTGTTGGTACACGAGCACGTGTGCGCAAGTGTGCGTGTGGCAGTGTTTTATGAACGCCTGCTGTGGACAGAATTGGGCTTCACAGTATGCAAAAATAGCTGTGTGCCACATGCAAGGATATCATACTTCACATGGCTGGAGGAAATGTGATAAATCACAGTTTTGCTGGATTTGCAAAAGCCCAAGAACTGTGGGTTTCATCTCTGTGTTCCAGGGAACACCAGACAGCAGGGCTGTCTGGGTTGGAGCAGTGTGATGTTAGAGGACCGGGTTGGACCAGGACCAGGTCTCCACTGCTGTGTAGGATGTCTCTGGACATCTCTTGGCTCTGAGCAGCTGGAATTTCATAGACCCATTTACTATGGAGACCAAGGAGACCTAACAAAGGTTGTCACTGTTGGCTTCTGCTCCATCCCATCCATCCCTGCTGCCTCCAGCCGCCTGTTAAGCCAAACCGCAGTCACGTTGTGGAGCCCTGCAGAGATCCTGGTGTGTGGGACACTGTCCTGATGCTTGCCCTTAAAAAGTTTGGGGATTCTAAAGCCTTTCTTGCTCCCCTCTCATTGTGTCCTCTCCAGTGTGCAATGAAAGTGGCTGACAGGTAGGGCTGAGCCTGGTTTTGTAGCATAAACAGTTATTTACAGTTGTGCTGAAATTTCATGGAAGATGACATTTTTAGGTCACCTAGCTGAAGCAAATGAAATGATTAATGTGTTTGCATTAGATTTCATAAAAAAAAGTATCACTCTTGCCCAGCATGGCTCTCACTTCCTCAGGCTTTCAGCTCTGATGTGATGCCCTGAAACCTAAGGCAGTTTTCCCCCAGGCTTAGGAGGAGCAGGATCTGGCCTCCCGACCCAAGGCAGATGGGATGTGGATGTCTTCTGCTACGTCCAGCATCCTCAGGGAGGTAACACAATTACCTAAGCCAAACCAAGTGAAAAGGGGCAAAGAGCAAAGGGGTGGTAGAAGGCGCACTTTGGCCATCACCAGGTCTGTGCAGGACCTCCTTGCTGTGCCCTGCAGGAGGAGGGAGCCTCATGGTGCTATCTCTCTTTTCCAGGGGGAGTTGCTGAGCCCGTGTCGATGCGACGGATCGGTGAAATGCACGCACCAGCCATGTCTGATCAAATGGATTAGCGAGAGAGGCTGCTGGAGCTGTGAGCTGTGTTACTACAAGTACCACGTCATTGCCATAAGCACAAAGAACCCTCTGCAGGTAAAGGTACTAGAGACATTTCAAAGTCTATTTATTCTCTGTTTGTTTCTGGGAGCAAGTAGATTTTACTGGCATGGGTTTTGCCTCCCTGTACGATGGTCCCTAGGAAGGGCTGTAGGGCTGCTCCAATGAGCCCCATGCCCTCACTGGTGGTGCTGGGGCATCCCTCAGGCCCTGCTCTTTCTGTCTCTCCTCTCCGACCTTGATACCTTTTTCACTTCACTGCTCCCTGTGTCCTAGTATAGCCTGGCACAGCACTGGAGGTGGTTGCTCTGGTGCTCTGGTCTCTCCAGGCTTAATTCTCAGTGTGCAGGTGTGCACACAACAGGTAGAGCACATCCGAATGTAAGTACCTGTGGAAGGCAGCAGAGGACCCTCCTTTTTCCTCTTGTGAGTTCAAAAGCGCTGCGGTTTATTAAACCCCACTGCAGGCTAGTAATTTAAAATCAAGATTTAGAATGGAGAAAGCTGTCTGACTGTTAAAAATGGGATAATTTATCCTTAATAGCTATTGATTTATTGCTGGAGCAACACCTGAAGATGGACTAATTGCAGAGCACCATTAGTGCCTCAGACATAAGGAAACACATTAGACCCAGGCACTACTGCTTAATTAGCATCATGTGGAGGGAGAGACATTGCAGCAGCATGCTGTGCTCAGACACCAGGACGCTTGTGTGAATGTTGATCTGTCCAGCATTTGGTTGCATTGGCTCTCTGTTCATCTCTCTGTTTCTAACAGGAGGCAAACCCTTTGCCTGTGATGGTACCCAATTGTACAGCACTCGGGGGATGCAAATCCCTGTTCTCTCCTCCAAATGGCTGCCTGTGTTCAAGGCTAGGTTGGATGGGACCCTGGTCATCCTTTCCAATGGGTGGTAACCTTTCCCATGGAAGGGGGTTGGAACTGGAAGATCTTTAAGATCCTTTCCAACCTCAGCCATTCTGTGATTCTAAGATTCTGTGATTCTGTGTGTGTCCTTCTTCATGCCCGAGGTCACTAAAAACAGTGGAGAAAGAGGCACGGCCCTTAGGACTCCAGGTTGAAATGAAGTAGCAAAATTAGTGAGGCATCATGAGGAAATTTTACTGGGGGGAAGGAAGAAGCATCCCTACTCTCTGCAAGTCCCTGCAGCTTCTAATTCAATTTTCCCTGTGCCACGGCCTGGAGAGAACAGTAGTTCCATCCCAAGCCTAAGACCCAGAGTGTTTGAGATTCTTGGCTCCACTAAATCAGTCCAGATTGAAACACAGCAGGGGATATGTGGACAGAGCAGCATTTGTTTATTTCTGGAAAGCTGGTCCATAAGTGCCCGAATACTTCATGAGCCTCAGGTTGATGGAACGATGCTGAGCAGTGTCAAAGGCTTGTGGGTGCAGATTTGCAATATGTGTGTAGCCAGCCTTTAATGAACGACCTCCAAGTTCTCTTCATCCCCATACGGCTCAGGGCAACTCAGGACATTCCTATGACTCCTCACTTGGCTAAAATTTCTTGAAGCAATTCACAAATGAGCTCTCATCCCGTAAACACATTTAAAATGCCTGCCCGAAGGATCACTTTTTTTGTCTCCCCTGTTAGAAAGTGACCTTTGCCACAAACATGAAAACTGACTGCCAGGGGCAGCCAAGCCAGAGAGCTAGATAGACATCTCTGCTCCGTGAGCAAGGTTCCTGGGGGACTGTGTTCTGAGGGCTTCTCACTGCTAGCAGGGACTTCACAGTGCCTCTCACAGAAATATGGGAGATATGGATCAGCAGAGGGTGGGAAGAAGCAATTGGAGTGAAAAGCCACTTGATCTGGAACAAATGCTGCACTTGCAGAGCTGCAGCTGTGTGCCCCAGTGTCCTGCCTGATGTCAGCACAAAGGCACGGCTGGGAAGCAGGTGTTACACCAGTACAGCATGTGAAATCCTGTGGGATGTGGGTCATGTATGAAGCCTGCAGTTCCCAAGAGGACTAAGGGATGTGAGACCTGTAGCCTATCACCATGCACACCTCTGTGCTCCTTGGTGTTTCTTGCCATTCTCCAGTGCTGGAAAAGGAAGGCAGAGAGGCTGTGATGCTCTGGTACTATGTGCCATAAAAACATGCCACAGTGTGGCTGGGTGGGAAGTGTGACTTTTCTGCTCAGTCTTCACCCTGCATGTGGTCAGCAGGGGCCCCTGGACATAGTGATATGTCTCTTAGCAAAGCCATTAATTCCTGGCTTTTCTTCTCAGGGTCTGTTGGAATTTCTACCCAGCTTTATTCTTTTTAGAAAGCTCTGAATTTCTCAAGCACAGACTTTGGAAGGCAGGGACGTCCCTTTATTCCAGACCAACCATCATATGGGCAAAGACCACACAGAACTCACCTCCTCGTCAAGTGAAGGATGTTCAGATGAAGCTCAGAGCATGGCTGCGCTCCAGTTGGTCAGAGCCAGGCAGTACACCCAACACCCACACGCCCCCCAGGATCTGCCTATTTCTCTGCCCATTTGGACACATGCTGCACATTTTCTAGCGAGCCTGGGAGTATGGCATGGGCCAGATGTGCATGGTGTGGGCAGAGAAGTTGCAGTCAGGGGAACGTGGTTCATACATAATTAACACAGATTCCTTCAAGCCTCCAGGCTGTTATGATGTCTCACAGCAGAGAGGAGCCTTCAGTCTGGCATTTTGATATAAAGAATTCCTATAAATTAACCCCTCAGCCCTGGATGGCTGAAATTTTAAAGCAAAAGACTTAAAGCAGCAACACTGCTGAGACTGGAGGATTAAAGTTGTTGGAGAACATGGCAAGTGTTCTGGCAAGCAGCAGCAAATGAGCAAAAATTTCCCACCCACTATGAGCAATCAGGAGGTGCACAGCCTTTGTCCATCCGTCCCCCGCTGTAATTCTGCTGGTCCCTGAGGCAGGAGATATGGGCACAGAGAGTCTAAAAGCTCTGCTGTGTTTGTGCAAAGCCTATGATTTTAATGAGACCCTGAAAACACAGTTTTGGAAGCATGCAATAGCATTTGCTATGACAGGGCTCTGCAGTGGGTTTCATGTATACAGCTTTGTAGCCACTCCTATGCCACGTTCATTCGGATGCTCTGATTTCAGCAAATACCAGATCAGTTTGAACTAGCCTTCCCAGACCTACTGCTGTTTGCAGTCTCAAGGAGTCCAACTCTGCATCACATTCCTTTCCCTGCCTCTTCATATCCAAAGGCCCTCAGTTATGGAATGCTGGGGTTGGGATGTGGTCTCGGTTCTCTCCAGTGCTTTGGGAATGGCCCCTCCTTCTCCCTGCTCTCTTTCTTGCATCTGAATAAACCAAAGCATCTGTAAGTGTACAGCAGGGAAGCTACCACAGCTTTAGGACAAATTTACTTGGTAAGTGTACTCTCCTAAAGATAATCAAGGTGGATAGCTAAGGCCTCAGGACAGCACTGAGGAGAGAGCCAGACCCAAGCAGTGATGGGAATGCTCCACTGCATCCTTCTAAGATAAACCTCCACTTGTTTGGGATGCTGGGTTTGAAACAAAATTGCTGAGTAGCACACTCAGGATGTTAATGATACATACTAAGGGGACGTGTCAGATATAGCAATAAAAATAAACTGAACTGCCTGAGGCAGGCATGGGAGAGCTCTCAGAGGAGTGTAGGAAGGCTTTTCTAGCAAGCAAGGCTTCTTAGCAAGCTGCTGCACTAAGACAGAGATATCTTCTGCAGGAAATACGTGCCTTGGATCTGCTCGTGCTCATGCTTGTGAATCTTTGGAGACTGCTGGTGTTAAAGAAAGGGAAATACGGATCAGACCCTAAATACTAGACTAGTGACTATTAATTTTTGTTATATTAGCAGCAGGGGCTTTGGTTACAAGGCTCTGAGAGAAGCACCGAAGCAAACAGGGGAATGTTCTTGCCCCACGTACAAACCACAGATCACATCAAATGGGATATGATGGGAAAGCACCAGTCCTAGATTCATCTCTACCTATGATCATTGCAGATGTCAGACTTGGGCTCCTAAGAACCTTTTCTGAGGCATCTGGTGCACGGAACTTTGGGGAAATTGAGGAAGGTTGGGGGAAATTCATCCAAGAGAGTATGGTGTTTTGCACATGAACATCTGGGTGTTGTGCCAAAGTGGTCAGACGGGGAGAATGGTGACAAAGGACACCTGAATGAATTAGGACGTTTAAGGTGGTGAGGCAAGGCACAGGCTGCCCAGAGAAGCTGTGGTGCCCCATCTCTGGAGGTGCTCGAGGCCAGGTTGGATGGAGCCCTGAGCAGCCTGAGCTGGTGGGAGGCAACCAGCCAACAGCAGGGGGTTGGAACTGGATGATCCTTGAGGTCCTTTTCAACCCAAGGCATTCTGTGATTCTATGAATCTTCAAAGCAGTCTGCAGAAAAAGAGCCCTTTTTCCAGTGTGGTTGCCAAAGCCATTGCAGAGAGCTGCTTCAGCTCTCTTTGTGGCCTCTGTGAGCCCAGCACTCAAAAGCTGTTTCTGTTATCCCACAGAAGCCTGTAATGCTTCCTGGTATCTCCAAGTTACACCCTGTTCAGCAGCGGCACACCATCTATAGGGCTTTCTACCTGCCCAAACTCAGTCTCAATTGACAATGTGAGTCAGCTTTCTGTTGTTAAAGGTATGCTGCAGTACAGGCCAGCAGCTCACTGCACTCAACAGTTCACATGTGACACTTCACCCTCTAAATCCCTGGTTTGCTGGCCTTACTGATGATGGAGAGAGATTAGGAAAAAATGAAATTCTTGTGTGAGCTGGTTGTTTTCCCCAGCATTCAGCTCTGACCTGTGAATAATTGCCCCCAAAAGGCAACCCCCTGAACAGTCAGGGTTGCTTTGTTACCACCAGCACCAGGCAGCAGCCCTGTCAGTGTTGCAGCATCTCTGCTCTCATCCAAAGGCAGGTTTGAAGCTGTTACACAGGTGTAGCTTCTCTGCCCTGAGCCATGTCCCCTTTGAAAGTATAATGTATTTAAAATCACACTGATGCCTCCCTGTCTCTGTAAAGCAGTTGCACGCAGCTGCTAGCTGTAGGAAACATCTCCTCCTTTTTCTCTCTTTAATTGCTACCTTGGAAGGACCTGTTGCTGCCACAAGCCTTGCAGTGTGCCAGACAGATGGTGAGGAGCCAGCCCATTACCTCCTTGAGAGAGAGAAATGATGCAGAATGATTTTGCTGGCACCGGCGGGTCAATGTGAGGAACCTGCAGTAAAACCATAGCACGCAGCTCTAGGAAAGGCTCCCTGCACCCCCATCCCTTCAGCATTTGCCAGTCTTAGTGGAAGGGTAGAGGACTGCCTCAGCATGGAACAGCCTCTGTCTCTTCTCAGAAGCTTTGCAGTCATCTATCTACTCCGTGGTCATCTATGAATCAGGCTGATACCATCACCTCAGAGAAGCTGCACATCCCTGGCACACAACTTGAGGGCTGTCTGCCCTTGCAGGACATAAGCCAAAGACCGTAGCTAGCAGAGGCAGACACTTCAGCTCACCTCTGAGCCAAGGCATGCGATCACCTTCCAGATGCAACCTTTTCCAAAGCAGCACTTTGCAGGGGACTGCATGCAGTTCAGGATTCTGGTAACTGGAACGGTAACAGTGCAGCACAAGTCACCTTACTGCCCTTTGAGCAAGGGGCAAAGTTCTCCCTGCATCCCAAAAATGTTGGTGACCTCTAGCAGGTCTGGACATTAAAGAGCAAACTGCTTTCTTGCCATACAAAATAAGGTGATGAGGCTTGACAGATGACCCCTGGTGTCCCAGGATGTGTTTGACAAAGAGGCAGGGTGCTCGGGGCTCTCCAGAGCTGACACCTCACTTGGACATTGAATTTGGCACGAATCCAGGCTAAAATGTTCAATCCCTCTGAATCCTCTTCACTTGGAGGAGGTTGAAGTCCCCCTTTATTTATCCTTCTACCAGCCCTATCGAGATTTCAAGGGCATGTATCTCACAGCTAAAGGTGGCCTATATATTTCCATCTCTCCCAGCCTGTTTACGCATTTGATTTCTGATTTGCAGGAGGCACTGTGGGCCATGTCCCCCCAGGTCTTGTTAGAAAAAGCAATTTCTGCTCTTGGTTTTTACAGGACAGTTCTCTCAGTAGCATAAATCTGAGTAAGGAGGTTTTATTCTGGATGACAGAGAGGAGTTCAGGCTTTGGATATTCATAATGTAGCTTATACAAAGCTATTTGACAAAGCAAATGGATTTGAGGGAGTTAGTACTATTTTTTTCCTCTTCTGAGAAAGAAGCACTGCCTTTTACCTTAGTAAACAGCCTGAACATGTCATCACCTAAAGGCAGGGAGTCCTGGCAGCAGCAACTTTCATCGTTGGTAACATTTTGTGGGGTGTGTATTGCTTCCATGAGATCTTACGTACTGCGGTTCTGTCACATCTCACCAAGCATCATGGAGCCTGATCACAGGAGACCTGCAAGGCAAAGCATGGCTGTCTGAGACAAATCTTGTGGTAAAAGGATGCCATCACCAAGGCTGTTGCCTGGCTTCCATTTGAGACAGCGTCCTGGTTTGTGATGGCCAGGTTTATCTCCAGCCACAAGGTGGACCAGGTAAAAGCGTCTATGTGCAGGGTGCACATATATGAGGCATAGGTGATCTATGGGATTTCCATGAATCACCACAATGAAGCAAAATAGCGATGTCCATCATGTAATTACTTTCTCCTCTTTTTCTCTCCTCCCTTCCCTTGTCTCCCTTCCTCTCCCTCTTGCCATCCCTTGCAGTGGCAGGCCATCTCCCTGACAGTCATTGAGAAGGTTCAGATAGCAGCGGCCATCCTGGGTTCCCTCTTCCTCATCGCCAGTATCTCGTGGCTCATCTGGTCGACCTTCAGTCCTTCAGCCAAATGGCAGCGCCAGGACCTGCTCTTCCAGATCTGCTATGGAATGTATGGCTTCATGGACATTGTCTGTATAGGTGGGTGAACACCTCTCGCAGCACACGGCCAGGGTTGCCAACTGCCCACTCACCTGCAGAGAGGAGTAAGAGATGGTGTGGAGAGGCTTTGTTGTTCTTGGATTGAACCTCCTCTGTTCTTTCCCTTCTTTGCTTCTTTTGACATCTTTTCTACAGTGCTCTCTGCCAGTCTCTGTAGCCCTGGAGAATCTCTTTGGCTGGGCTGGCAGAGGGACTTGCAGCAAGCCCGGAGAGAAACAAATCTCTCTTCAAAGCAAGAAGAGGGCAGGGAGGTCTGGGGGAGGCTGGCAAGTATTGATTAACACTGGGGAGGAAACACCTGCCTTTCTGGAATAGCTGATACAGGGACTGATACAGGGACTGCCCTGTGTTTGACCATGGCATGCTCTGGTTTGCACCTTGCAGAACCATACTCTCCACGTGCATGGCTGTGCAGGGAGCTGTGGGAGGGTGGTGGGTTCAGAGCAAGGTTTCTGTCCCCGCAGGCAGCCTGAGTAAGAGGACATGGCTGACAATACCTGTGGGCAGAGGCACTTACCAGCCAGGCCATGAAACAGTGGTAGTTACCAAAACAATCAAGTAAATACCAATGATCTCCAATTGAAGATGAATTTCCATCCAAGCACAGGCCACTGGATAACATGAATTCAAGTGACCTTGCTGGGAAGCAAAGAGCATTCCAGAAGGCTCCCCATACCTGTTTTCTTCCATTATTGGTATAAATGCAGAATGAGTTTCCCAGAAAAAAAAAAATAAAAATAGGACAAGGCAGTACTCTTGGCTTGGTGCATTAGTGTTAGTGTGAGTAGAACCATTCCTGAGGAAAGGAGCACAGCCCCCGGTCAGCCTTCAGGAAGAGCAGTACAGTCTGTATCGCAGTTAGTGAAATTGGGATAGGGAAGTAACACAAACCAGGCCTCGGGAGAGAGGTAATGGCAACAAGCCCTGGTCTGGGTTCAGATTGGCATCAGAACCTTCCAGGACAGGACAGCCGAAACCCAGACCAGTTTTTCCCACTGTTGCCATCCCTGTGCTGACAAGATATGAGCATGAGCCTGATCTGCTCCACTGTGAGCTGCCACAGATCTACAGCAACAAGAAGTGGCCAAGGAGGGTGAACGAGAGACAGGCAGCCCTGGTGACATTTTCTTGTTGGTGTGATTGGAAGTGGAAAAAAGTGATCTCTTTGTGCATGTGGCATGCACACGTGTCACCTTGTTGTCGGAGGACAGAAGTGGAGAGCCTTGGCATGGGCAGACGTCAGTAATATGATTAACTGGCTTTGATAAAGCTTCAAGAGCTGAGGGGAACTGATTAGCTCATCTGTCAATAGATGCTAAATCCTCCCACATGGCAGAGAACAAGCTATGCCAGCTAGGAACTGAAAGGGAGCTGGGTGGAAAGATTCATCTTTGAGGGGTTTTGCTTCTTCTTCTTCTTCTTTTTTTTTTCCTTTTTTTTTTTTTTTTTTTTAAAGGATCTGGCCTTTATTTTTCCTCTCTGTCTTCTCTAGGGGGTAAAAAAATATCCCTTTGCCTCTCTACTGATGTCACCACTAAGCACACTGCCCCAAGCTGTGAGCTTTGATTTTTCCAGTCAGAGAGCAAGGGGCCATCCCATTCCCAGGAATACTTCAGAGCTGCAGCTGAGAGCAGCCCCTTGCCTTGCAGCCCTCCCTGCACAGCTGGCAGCCCTGGTGAGCCAGACATGCTGTTTTTCCCACAAACTCAAAAGCAAGTGGGAAGCACTACAATGCAGTGCCTTGATGTGTATGTTTTCTCTTGCCCAGCACCTCAGAGCAGTACCCACCCACGGCTGGCTCCAGTCGTGTTGTGTCTGCTGCGCTTTCAGGCAGCCCACCCATGATCAGCCAGGGGAGATGATGTTTTGTACCATGAGAGCCTTTCGTGTACATTTCATACATTTCTCTGGAAAAGCTGATATGTGCATGCAGTCAGCACCAGTGTTAAAATGTGCTTGTGTTGTGGCCTTTGCAATCCCAGTTGCTTAATTGATTTAGATTGGATATAAGGAATAATTTTTTTACAATAAGAGTAGAGAAGCACTGGCACACTTTGCCCAGAGAGGTGGTAGATGCCCCATCCTTGCAGACACTCAGGGTCAGGCTGGAGGGGCTCTGAGCGCTGATGGATCTGTAGGTGTCCCTGCTCACTGCAGGGGGTAGGACCAGATGGTCTTTAAGGGTACCTTCCAACTTAAACAGTTCTATGACTCTATGGACTCCTCATTCATTGCAGCTTTCCTTGACTGTGATGGATGCAGCAATGGCAGCTCTCTAAAAGATTCACGTTGAGTTCCTTGGTGCAGAATGGCTACTTCCCATCTTTTGTCCTTCTCCCAGGCCTCATAGCCCCATGCAATGTCTTTGATCACAGCTGGGCAAAACTGCCTCCAGAGACTCAGAGTTCTGCTCCTGACTGCCTGAAGCCTGGTGTTTCTCCTCCCCGGGCTTTTTCACTTCTGCAAGTTCAGGATAAAACCTCTCATAGATAATTGTAGTGACAACAGTTCTAGAAATACCAGGGTGCAGTCTGTGCATTTTTGTAACTCCTCCTCCACAGCCCAGCCCTCTTCTCCTTTTGCTTTCCAGCCTGTGGACAGGTACAAAAAAAATAAGGCACTAAGAAATGCTCAGTGATGGGGAAAGAGCAGGACATTTAGATGCACTCAGTCCTGTTAGATTTGTTGTTTTTTTTTTCCAGCTAACATAACACTCACAGCCTTACCTTCCAGATGCTATTGTGTAGGTCCTACACTAATTGTGTGTATTCCAATTGCTCCTTCCATCAGTTTGATCCTGAGTTTTGCTTCCACTGGCAGACGAGTCGAGGTTTGAAAGGCAAGAAAGACTCTGAGCAACCTGATCCAGCTGTAGGTGTCCCTGGTCATTGCAGGGAAGTTGGACTAGATGGCCCCTCCCAACTCAAACTCTAATTCTATGATTTCCATGTGAGCAGATGTGCTGAAGCAGAGTCCCTTGGCACTTCCTGCCTGTGTCCACTTTGGTTGTTCTTCTATTTCTCAAGTCCATTGGGTAGTCATTGAGTGACTTTTGTCCAGGAGAACAATTGGCACATGGAAATTGAGATTCACACCAATCATTTGGGGATTATTATCCTCACTTGAGTTGCATGCACATGCTCTGAAACTGTCTGATCTGCTCCAAACTGAGCTTTCAGAGGAAAGCATTAACCCAGAGACTACTGAACCATGCATTCAAATTCAGAGGGTTTGACTCAGGCACTCGCATGCACTAATATACAAGCTTTCTTTGGACTCCACTAGATCCCAGCATGCTCAGCAAAGACAGCTTAATGGACAGATATCATTTACTGCCCCTGCACCCACCAATAGAAACAAAAAACACAACCAAAATAAAATGAATCTGCTCCTCAAAACCAGCAAGACAGAAGGCATGGCCCTGTGCGCCAGAAGTTGTATCCATCTGGGCAAGATGTGCAAGATGGTCTTTCCGCATTGTTCTCCCCTTTGTTCTCAGATATCTAACAGGAAGGCAGGATGCTCGGAAAAGGATTGCTTGGAATTTGCAGGAGTCTCCAATACTGGAAATTTTAAAGAACCTGTTAGAAAAACATATGTCAAGAACAGGTTGCAGAGAGATGATCCCAGTTTGTGAAGGAGGAACAGACTAAATGCTTCTTGATATCCAGCCAGCCCTAATGTCTTTCACTCTGATCTCTCTCTCTCTCTTTTATGTGTGCTACATCTTGTCATGACTACAGGACAGACATGAGAGCTGAATTAAACCAGAAACTGGCAACAGTGCCAGCATAAGTATTGCTCTGCTATGAAGCCATCCACAACATAAGAGCGTTGAGATCCATGGCCAGGAGGTGAATGAGAAGCGAGGTGGGGCAGTTCATTTGATTAACTGCTCTCTCCACAGGTCTCTGTGAGGTAAATCCAGAAATCTGGCCTAAAGAGGGATTAGCAGAAATGCAGGTATTGAAATGTAAAGATAAGTGGAGTGAGCCTGAGCTACTGACTAGAGAGATTGGCAGCTTATAGCTGGGCTGTAAATCCTGAGAGATACCTGCCTGTTAATTAAATGACAGTCCTCGGAGGGGGAAGGAGGGGTTTGTCTCTCTTTCTGTCAAGGTGCAATTAGAGAAAGTCGGTGTTTGTAGATTAAAGTGTCATTTGGGGTCAGGAGGACAGGAAACAATCTCCTGTTAAACAAGGAGTGATTCTGCCAGCTAATGAGAGCATGTCACAGCCTAGGCTTAGAAAATCACCAAGCCTGCTCCAAGGGAGAAATGTGGCTCAGGAAGGACATAAGCAGGTTGTTGTGTGCAGCACTGTCATTGTGTATGCGCGCAGTCCCGCTTGTTTTTGCTCACATGGCATCCCTGTGATTGACATGTCAGGGGCTTATCCGCAGCGATGCAGAAGCAACCTGATCTGCCTTTCCTTGGGTTGCTGTCTGGTGGGGTTGATGCTTTGTCCATGCTCAACCACTCCTTGCACTCTGACTCACCCTGCTTTGCTGCTGACAGTTACTCACTTTTGTAGGCACTAAATCCTCATGTTCTTTGAAGCTTTTCCCTCGCTTTCCTTGGCAGCCAGTCCCTGAGGGTATTTGCCTTCACTACATAGCTGCAGTGCAGCTCAATAGCACAAGAGACAGGCAGAGCAGGACCATTCATCCTGCCAACGATTTTTGTTGGCACACCATGGCAATCCATTACAGATCAGGAAGTGTGTGCCCGCTGTTTTTAATCCCAGCTGCCAGCAAGAATAATCAAAAGCATCCAATATGTCTGACGGCATCTCAGCACAACCGTAGGTAATAACATAAGAAATCAATAGCCAATTAAAACTGATCCACAGCATTTGATCCTTCATAGAGCAATGGGAGCAGTAATTAATGGAGCTTCCTTGCGATGGTCACAATTCAAGCTTCCTGCCAAGACTAATGTGGTTTTGTTTTAAATGAGCTTTGCTTCCTAGAGGAAATG